AACTAGAAGCGCTTCGTCTTAATTTTAATACAGATACGTTGAGAAATAAAAAGTGAAAGTACAGCAAACATGACGAAAGAATAAGGCTGCATACGAAGAGAAAACCTGCAAGAAGCAAAATCTCGAGACCTCAAAGCAAACAAACCAGTCTCACACTTTCAACTACGCTAGAGTCGCGTCTTTGCATATTCACTTCAACAGGTGTGAATCCCGAGCGGAGGACCTTCACAGTAGTTCTCATCTGCAGCCCTATCGTTTTCAACGGTCAAATCGCTGCAGATTCGCTAGAATGGGAGGAAAAATTTAAAAAAAAAGAATAGGACGTGTTGGATTTTTTTTGGAGACTGGGGAAAAATTACTTGGATATCAGACGGTGGACAGCAAGAGGACTATCAACCACCAAGAGCCAAGCCACTGGCCTCAGCGAACGAGGGACATTTCCCACTACGACTCTTTCGGTAGTGACTCTGATCAGGGTGGAGGATAAATCTCTTTAGACGGTGATGATAGGCATGGCATACGGTAGAATTGTAGCCGTCAAGTATACTGTTTTCCATGAAGCATATCCTCACATAAGTGCCATTTCTCAGGGCTCCCTAGAAAGTAAAGTCATAGAGGCCAACGGCACATGATCTTTGGAATTGCAAAATATTCTATCGATTTCCTGCTCCACTCTCACTTATCTGACACACTGCAATGAAGAAAAGTTGTCGTAAACTTTACGCTGGCTGAAATATGATCCCAAAATTTTGTTCCCTTTCTCCACCCTAGGCGTTCCTCGTCAACCACACTACTTAGCTCGACTTTGACCACGTTTTCGAAGGAAATTCAAATCATATGCTCAGATAACTACAGATCTTTATTATAGATCGTTCATTCCACGTGCATCGTAGGTGACTGTATAACGAAAACTTTGGCCGTATTCGATGTTGTCAGTCTTTGTGGACAGAAAAAGTTATAAGGTACAGATGGAGTGAAGCGTAGAGTAGAGAGTTTGAGGGNGGGTACAGGCGCAGACGAGCAAGAATTGTTTGGAAGAAGGTCTGACGGGAGTGGAACAGAACGAAAGAACATGAACATAAAGCTACTGGAGGCTTACTGAAAAGGATTATTTACCTGATTCTATCCTGATGATTTCAATAATTCTGCTTTCAACGTTTATTTGTGTGAGATTATACTTAATTAGCGTGAGATCTCATCTCGAATACTACCCTTTCCTTGCGTTCTGCATCATTTCTGCTAATTTGCTTGAGTTTGCGGTATATTCGAAGAGTAATGGCAACGGCTATTGACAAAGCAGTGACCGTTTATACTGCGCGAAGGTGACATGAGTTCAGGCCAAATCGAGGCGATCATGGAAGACGATCACCACAGAACCAGTCAAAGGAGATTCCTACGCCATAAAAGGTCTAAATCCCGGATCAGAGTACATTGTTCGAGTAACCGCTGTGAATTCCGAAAGCCAGGGAGTGCCATCCGAGGAAAGTGAAGCCGTTAAGTACGAGGATGTCAGAGGTCAGTTGTCTGAATGGGAATTTTCCTTTCTGTTTCAACACAGGTGAAAAAGCGGAACCGTATGTTTTGCCTATTCCCTATGACGAACACAGGGGAATCCTGACACATGCTAAATATAAAGCTAAAAATTTGGATTCCAGAAAGACCATCGTTTGTGAGTGTGCCGAATGATACGACGGTAATCAAAGGTTCCAAAATAAAGCTTACAGCGGAGTTCACGGGAATTCCTACACCAGAAGTGCGTTGGATGAAAAATAGGAAGGTACGTCGGAGAAATATGAATTACTGTGATCTCGGGATATTTCTCGCCTAATTTATCCACTTTTTCTCTTCAGGAGATGTTTTCTGGTGCCCGACAATGGACTGAAATTTCTGATGGTGTATCGTCGCTATCAATAACAGAGATACGAGAGGAAGACGAGGGAGACTATACTGTATGGATATGATTTTTAAAAAGGCTGCTTGAAGTTTCCATTCCCCCTTCATAGCCTTTTTTTTACGAGCTTAATTGATGCATGGCTCACTCCTAGATTCGCAGCAAGACCTTTAGACTACTACAGTGGCTGCTTTCATAGTCCACGTTTTGGCCCGCGAGCGGTCGAGTGATTGGGGCGACGCTTGGCCCTTGTTTACAACTGAATCTTGGTCGGGCAGGCGCCGCCCCAATCGCTCGATCGCTCGCTCGCTCGCGGGCCAAATCGTGGACTATGAAAGCAGCCAGTCACGGCTCCGGGTGGCGCAGCGCTAAAACTAGAAAACCTAGCTAGAAGTTCCATAATGATTTCAGTACGCTCATACTTTGGGGATAATATTTAATGGAGTAAGGTAAAATTATAACAAAAATCCCTGATTCACCTGACTTCCGAAAAACCAAAAAAATATTCGAGGAACACTGGATTCCACTAATAAACTTGGAAATTGTATGTCAAAGAAGAATTCCTGTAAAATTCCCATTGTAAAAGGCCATAATGACACAAACAATAGAAGTTAGAACTTCAAGAATGAAAGAAAAGGTTCTTTGAGCTGGTGCTAAGCCTTTGTGGGCCATGAGCTTAGCCTTCTTCGACGGCCTAGTTCCAGCTGATACCGATAATTCAAGGCATCGTGCATTAGGGCTTTCAAATATACCTTTTGATTTTCTGATTGAAATGGAATTTTCCTTCCTCAAAAGCCGCTTTCATAGTCCACGATTTGGCCCGCGATCGATCGCGCGGCCAAACCGTGGACTAAGAAAGCGGCCAAATAAAAAAAAAATGCCTCGAATTTGGCTGAGTCATTAGTGAAAAATTTTTCTCGATTGATATGTAAGCATATGTGTATTTATATGAAGCTAGCCCCCCTTCGCTTGAAATATGTACAACTTCAGATTGAGCTACGAAATGCTGTTGGCACATGCGAGCATAGGTTCAAATTGAATATGGATGTTCAACCAGAAATTATCCGTCCTGATCGTTACACCTCAACACTTGTCTACGATGAAGGTGACACCGTGAAATTGCGTCTGTCATTCACAGGTATGAGTCAGATTCAGAAAAAAGTCAGATTTTCATGTAAAAAAGCAGGTTCATCCCAGGGGAAAATTTCAGATATTTTATTGTGGACTGTGCTTTGATCAATCTCTCTTTGGGATGCCATTCCGCATTCGTATTACGCATTCGTTCCTTTCAAAATAGTGCCCTTATGCTGGAGTCTGGAAACAATTAATTGATCCCGGAGGTCTGAGGGGCTTGGTGGTCTGGGGGAGTACCGATCCGGGAGTCGAACCGCAGATCATGCGCCGGAGATAGTGCACCACTTGCCATGCACCAGTTCTGCCCGCCAAAACAGGAGGAATTTAAAAATATTTACATTTTAAATAGAACTCGTTCGCTTATTTGATCCACATTCGGTCGATGTAATTTGAAGGCGCTTCCGAAATTGATTTTCAGGGAATTATCGGGTAGTAAAGGTAGGAATGATAACGAATTTATTCAACAGTACTGAAACAATTTCACATGATCCTTCAACGAGGAAAAGTAAAAAATGGATCACAAGGTAAGTGCATGTGAGCTAGCCGTGGCTATGTATATATAATAGTATTCAATGCGATTATTGTAATTAGATAAGAAATCTCTCCCGACTGTGAGAGTAAGAAGAGGACTAGGCAAGCGTCTTCTCACTACCTCTGATATGGCGATCCAAATCTCTCCGTAGGGCTTAGGATAATATCAATATACTATTTTGAAAGGAGATGACGCTTTGTGAACAAAAATTACTGACTAGTAAGTACTTGTAAGTAGTGAGAGAGCAAAAGTGAAATGATTGCTGAATTCACATTAACTTTCGTTAATTTTGAATTCAGTAAGAGAATGTGCACCTATTAAATTGACGATACTCGTATTTCACCAAGGTTCGGGGTAACGGTCCTATTCGATCGGAACAGGTACGGTTAAATAAAAATCACATAATCATGATAGAAATAGTGGACAGCTTAACGATTAAGGGAGTTTGTTTAGTCTTCATCACCGTGCAACATGGCTTGAAGAGCTAGTTCTTGCCTGCTGCTGTCCAGCTTCGTTTGTTCGGCTTGCTGCTCATCCTGTGCGACTTTGATGAAGTTGTCTACGATTATAGTGATTGGTAACGCCAACACTAGTACTCCGCACATGATCGCTGCCGATGCGATGATTTTTCCCACTGGAAAGGTTTTCAATCAGATTCACCTCGTTCAACCAGGGAAAAAACCGACTGGATCGTGAAAACTCACTTGTGGTGGCAGGAACGGCGTCACCGTAGCCGACTGTAGTCATTGTCACGATACACCACCAATACGCAGCTGGTATGCTTGTAAACGGTGTGCCATCTTCGTCTTTTTCCAGAAAATAAATCATCGTTGAAAAGAAGACAACCCCCGTCAACAAAACGATCGTCATCATCTGCAGTTGCTTCTGTGACCGTTGCAATGTCATGCCGAATGTCTGCAGACCTGACGAAAAGCGACCGAGTTTTATGATCCGGATCACTCGTAGTACTCGCAAAATTCGTACGACAAGGAATGCCCATCGTAAATCTCGCAATTTTTTGTCGTCTACTCCACATAATGTGAGCAGCAATTCGAGGTAGAATGGCACGATCGCAAGTAGATCGACGAGGTTCAGTGGTTTGAGGGCGAAACGCAATTTCCTTGGAGCCGCAAATAGTCGCAAGCAGTATTCGACGGTGAAAAAGGCTATACATATGCGTTCAGTGAATACAAATGCCGGATGTTCGACTCGCATCTCTTCGACTTTTTCTACCACTGTTACCGTACCATTAGGAAGCACGATTGTCTCGTTCTGTGGAGGCATGTAGTGCGTCACCTATAATTTTTAGTAGCTAAGCCATGCCTAAGTAATCAAAAATCTCAAACCTGAAAATCGGGAATGGTGCCGAAGCTAAGACCCATAACGGAAATGGCGACAAAGAGCGTTGAAGAGAGCTCGAAGGCCTTAGCTTGCATCGATGAGCCAGGCCGCTCAAGAAACGTCCACATTCGTCGTCGCACTTTGCCGAACATCAAATTATCGAATGTCGTGTCGTCAACCTGAACGTTATAAACTGTCACATGAACAGGCGAGATGTCTTTCTTCGGGGTCCTGACCTTCTCTTCCTCTTTTTCTTCTTCTCTTTTCTGCGGTACGATATCGGCACAACAAGATCCCACATGTTGATGGGAGATGCGCCAAAAGTCAAGTTCCGAAAGAAATGATGCCGGACACACCTGACGAAGAAAGGGCATTTATGAGCTTGAACTTTGAAAGTTTGACGTCGGCATGCTCAAAGCGCACCAATATCGGATTACCTTCCTGCACTCTTAGTTACCGTTTCGAAGTAATTTGAACGAGCTCCTTACCTCCGACGGCCTATGCACAACTCCGGTCGCGTAATATTGGAATATCGCTTCGAAAGCTACTGGTGATCGTTGGAAAAAATATGAGTCCTCGGCGGCGATGTATGCGTCAGCCACCTGTAGTTAATGGCAGATGCATGTTTTGAGTCTTGTCACAGAGAAGAAACGGAAGTGAATGCTCGGAAAGAATCTACCTTTAGACGTGCTGAATGTGTTAGCTGTACGAATTTTGAGAGAAAGCCAGAAGGTTCAGCTCGTAGAAGAGCATCCACGAGCAGCATATACCGTGTTCCACCGATGTTTAATCGTAGGAACATCGGTTCCCCATCCGGACCAATAGCTCCTGGTGGAATTATCTGAAGCGGCAGATTCCAAATTATATAGTTCTCCGGGATACTGACAGCACTATGCAATTGAGAGGTTCTATGGCTAAATTTTGCAATGAAGCGAATAAAATTCGGCTCAAAAAAGTTTTTTGCGGCGTAAACATGACAAAATTTTGTTCAGCTTGAAATCTTGTTGACTTTATCAATAATTTGCGCTGCCTCACCTGAAAACATTCGCTGCCTCCAGATCTCCAAACGTCGTCGAGAATCAGAAAATTTCGTCGTTCTGCATGACTCATTGCATCCGTTTTTCGTAATGGAACTAGGCGTTTCTTATGCTGTTGCGCCGCCCTGAACAGCCTCGTTTTCGTGATGGCAACGGCAAAAATCCAATATCATCCTCGATCTGTTTCCAGTGTTAATTGCTCACACTGATTGCATATGCATTTTGAATTCAGTTTTTATGAGGGCAAAAATACCCAAGCATTCCATTAGTGAATGGCTTCAGGGACAAATCACAAAGTGAAGTAGTAAAGTCACAAAAAAATGCATGCACGATTAATGATGAAAGCCGTACGAGTGAGTAAGTCACAACACGACACGACAACAAAGAAAAGCATTCAATAGTAATAAAAAATAAAATGAAATAGTTGACCCACCCGCTGATCATGTTGCCGGTTACCCTGTAATTCTTGAATTTGAGTGCGGTATCAGTACCGGGTATGGCGAATTGTATTGAAGCGCGATGCTGCAAAACCGCTTGCGAAATGGCGATCGCCATTGCCGGCAGTCGAAGGACAAAAACGTCGTTTCGTCTGCCAACTACTTGTCGTGGTCAATTTTGCAGCAAACACGAAAGGGGAACTATGTACTCGTGCTCAGGGAGGGGAGGCGGTACCCCTAATGCTCGTAAGCGCCCGCCTCACCTTGCGCCTAGGGGGCTTTTTAGTCACCTGATATGCGGATATTTGCATTGGTTCTTCATAAGGAATGTGCAAGCCTTCAATTAGCTATCTCCAAGCGGTCTTTTTTGATCCCTTACTTTCCGCTTCGCATGAAGTAAATCAGTAGAATGGAAGAAAACGCATAATAATGGGCAAAAGAGAACAGGCATGATATGAATGCCAAGAATTTAAATGGTATATCATATGTACTTACTGTCCATTGGAAGCGAGTGCCGAATAGCTTATACTGGCACAGGCCATGGCGTAACAACAACGATTGGGACTAGCACTGTTGTGTGAGAAGTGTCGGGTGTGATTTCGCCAAGAAACCGTCTCCCACGGTGAGGAGAGCGAGCATTAATCGATGCTGAGCTCGAGCACCTCCTCAGGTGGAAACAGCCCCCGGCGATTAATCTGCTTAGATTAGTCGGCTGTGAAAGCTTAGATGTTAGCCACACCCCGTTCCGGGGTTTCATGTCGCGACATGCCTCACTGGCTTTTTTGGTTCAGCTGTCCGCACAAGCACAGCAGCCAGTGCTTCCGTTTTGAAGGACCCGTCAAACTGACTATTTCTTTTGATTCTCTGAAGGCAGTTTGACAAGGCCTCGCTCCTCGCGACCGCATGAACTTTTTTGTGATGAGAGAAAAACAGTTTCTGTCACAAANAAAGTGTAAGGAGGCTATGCTTTTGTAAACCTCTTCTGCTGAGTTAATCAATTTCTAGCATAATTCCTACAACTAAATGGCGCGTATCCCGTCACGAACAAACAGCCATTAATCAATAGCAGTGAAAAGGAATTAATGACAAATGGTATGAGAACTTGGTGGGTGAAGTAATAAGCTGACATTGAGGTAAACTCACTTCCGAAGGTAATATTATTAAAAGGGTTCTGTGGTCGGGTGGGAGCAGCACCAATTAGTAGGGGATGTGCCAAGAGTACTGCACCTAGCTGCAGCTTGTACCAAGGAGGCGGTGAAAGTGGTCTTCAAGTGGTAGGCAGTGTGTAGACACAGTTCGAGCGAGAACGGATCGCGGAGAAGGCACGAGAGGGAAATGAGAGCGTCTTGACAAGAGGTGTGTATATGTGAAGAGCATGTACGTATAGTGTTATCTGGACTGGTACATTACTTCTTAGTCGTCATTTGAATCCTTCTACAAAACGCCCTTCAACGGTATCCCTTTAGGGGAAGTGGATTTTCATGCATTGAAAAAGTATCATATCACACAGATGTGATTATTGGGTGCTAGGAAAGGAGGTAATGGCATTTATGAAGTGCACAGCTGCTTTGCCTGGTTTTGCTAGGAGTTAATTCCTCATTGAGCACTGCACTGAGCGCTATCACATACCGTCGGGTTCCACTTCATGATATATCGATATATCATTCTGGCCGTCGCATACCTCTACCACATACTCTGTATGTGCGATAGGGAATTGATTTTCTGCAGACACCTGGGTTTCCTAGCAAAATTCCTGGTCGATCGCTGTTGAGTATGCTCTATTCAGAGCCATTAGGACATTTAATTAGGTAGGTGAGAGTGAGTCCAGCAAATGTTCGTAATGAGATTGGTATTCTCCGAGAATAGAGTTACTGGTCATTAATCCTGAGATCGATTGGTTCCTGAAGCGATTTTTGCCCTTATATGAACCCCTTCTCAAACGACCTATGAACTTTCTCTCTGATGAGGCGACTGCACTTTCTGCTATGGAATTCGGCCTGAAACCGGATCGATATAATGCTTTTGATGTGATCCGATTCCCATCGGATGGTAAAGGAACCACTTGAAAGCAGTATGCGTACCCTAACTATTTGCAGAACAACTCTGCCTGGGACAAACGCCATTTGATTAGCTAATTGAACTGTGATGTTTTCCCCTGTGATCTTTCATGACCCAAATAGGAAGACGTTCCCAGGTTGGTCTCTTCCCCTATTTGGGTTTGGGACACTGTCTGCAAACAGTCCAAAATCGCGTGGGAAGTAAGGAAGTCTCTTGAGTGAACAGTGGGCTCGTGGGTTCGACAAGAAAGAGATTAAGGTCTGTGGTGCCATGGTCTCGCCCCCGTTAATTTGTTCTTCAGTCAATAGGGTGACGGCTAATGGGCGTATCACCTGTGCGACGAAAAGAAAAATACACGACCACTTGAAGTGCAAAAATACAGCACTTCAAGTGGTTCGACGGATGTTACAGTTGGTTAAGCGTGAATATCGGCAAATACACTTCTGGTCTCAGCTGACATCGATCTCGTCCTAATCAGTGGCACAACGAACGGAAAACGTCCAAATAGATGTCCAAGCTAACACTGAACCAAGTGAAAAGCGAAAGAATTAGGGCGTATAGAAAGCTTGAAAGAGACACATGGTTGAGTTGAGTATAATAGGGTTAGAGGGTTGGAAGTAATGATGGATGGCCGAAGGAGGTGACTCTGCGGACGGCAAGACAAACTAATCGCCGATTCACGTCACCTATACCATGCCCCATAGTCTCAACGGGAATTTCATCTGACTCGTAAGTCGTGCAGCAAACAAATCGCGTGACTGGAAGTCAGGTAGAACAGCATATAACTTTCAGCTATCAGCTTACGCTCAGGTTTTTTTTTCGGGCGTCCTCGGCACTCTTTTCGGAAAACCTCAGGTATAATAGAAAAACTGATACACCATGAGAAGCGTCCAGTTCCAGCGTGGTGAGAAATGCACGATAGTTGAAGAAAAACTGACTTTTAGCTGGAATTTCAATTATGTACGTTGATGAACAAAGCAAAGGAAGAGGTGGAGTATTACGAAGAAGCGCTACTGTTATAGACATGCCTTAGATGAAAAGTTCTTCGAAGCATTCGAGCCTTCACCCTATTTTGCCTAATTAGTTGCCAAGTTTGTCTGGAAAGCTGAAAGTACCAACCTGTGCATTGTCTGGCCTACGCAACTCATTGTGAAGGGTAGATACGTATCTGAACGCAGGACAAGGTCTGAGAATACAAAGAGAGGTCCGATGCGTCGACACCTCACCAGGACTGATCTCCACAAAGATAATTAAGATTTTTCAAACCATTAGCACCAGATGTCTGCATTAAACTTCAGTCAGTGGTGGTAACGCCTTTAATAAGAACCTGATAGCCACGTGCTACCAACTGGCTCGAGGATTTTTTAAGCATAAGCACGAAGAACTGGGACGAATTGACAGTATGTGCTGAATTTTTGATCCTTCATGGTTATTAGTGGCTAGTTCCCTAGTAATAGTTAAACTTTAATATTTTTGGATGCTTTTTCACGAAAACTCTCTTAATGAAACCATCAGAACTTCGTTTCCCAACTACCCCCGAACAAACTGAATGTGTTGCCCGTGAATTTACTTGAAAACTAGCACCCCTTCGAACATTGCCTAAAGGCTTCTTATTAATCGCGTTGTTGGGAAAAAATACATTTGTTTACACTGGCGGTATGCTCTTGTTGCATCTGAGCAGTTTTCAGTTCCCGACTTGTTGACATCAATTTATGTGCATTGACTGAATAAACGGAATAAATTAGTTCCAAAAGCGCGAGGAAATGGGACAAGGGCAGATGGCTTTGATTTGTGCTGTAACAATCGCGAAGCAGAATTATTTTTTCTTGGGTTAGATGATGTTTTCATTCTGAAACCTTCTCAGTTACATAGAAAACTCAATCTAGAGAGCAATCATTGCCCGCATGAGAGTTTCAAACAACTGTTTCCAATCAACGGTCGAATTTTGGGAAAGGCTGTTTGGAAGCTCGCAGCTGGTTTCCTCGAATTAGAACTAGACGACCCTGACTGAACGGCCAGCTCATTCCTCCTGAACAGGGTCAGCGCAGATAAAATTGCTCACAAGTTTGGCTCCCACCCCAAAACCCCAAAATTAAGAGTTAGGGATGGGGAGGGGTGATCGAATAGGGAGNAGTGGAGTAAGACGAAGTTCTGACTCTTTTTTTAGTCGGAAAATCCTACCGACACAAGGAACACTCGGTGTACACTTGCCCCTCCTCGTTGCCTTATTCGAATGTTTGCCAAGAGCTAATGTATTAGTCAACTTTACACGAAATAATTTCAAAAATGAAGGAGTTAGATGGCAGCGGTCAGTGTTTGCAACTTCATCGACCCTTTTTTTTTACTTCCATTGATTCGTATAATGGGTGCGAGGTTTGATTCGTATAATTGATGCAAAATGCTGTTGAGATATTACTGGCAGAGCAAAAGCGAAGAAAAACCCTGAAAGCCTTTAAAGCCCAGTTTTTGGCATGAGCGGCAGAGGTTTCAGCAGACTATTGTTCCAATCAGTGCCTCAGAAGTATGGTGGAGATTTCGCGAAGAGTGAAAATCTGCTAGTTGTAAAGTCCCTTATTATTGAAATTGTTAATTTTGCTTCTGCCTCGAGGTTGTTAGGTGGAAATTTTTATTCTGGCCAACGTTTCGATGGACTCGTCGTTTTCGAAAGCCTGAAAATGGTTCAAAGCTTGTTGATTGCACACTACCCCACCAAGCGCCTCGTCCGCATTAGCGTTTCTGACCTTCTATCAGGAATGCACAAAAAATGCCCAAAATTCGAAAGATAAGCCCACTTCACTTCCACCACAAGGTGTAGCTACGCTACACGGTTAGTACATTAGTAGCGAATGACCTTACTTTGCTGTCCTTATGCAGTAATACTATTGTTGCCGATCAGCACGTTCGCGGATTATGGAACTAACTCGCAGCGTTGCATAAATGGCAAGAGATCATTTGTGATTGTCACACTCTCATTTCGGCTGTTAATATCTGGATTTCTAGCTGAAATCCAGATGGCTTCCAACGCTTTTCATCGAAACGTTGGCCAGAATGAAGATTCCC